GTTTGTAATAGGCAAGAAATTTGTTATAGCATATTTCCAAGTCATAGGGGTCTAATGATGTTGATGATGACTTGGATGGAAGTTCTTCTGAAGGGTCACTCGCCGTTTTAAGCTCAGTTCTCACAGCTGCAAAGGATTCCATAGTCTGCTATGTACATTTGGTCTGACTGTCATTATCTTGGTCCTTCGCGTAATTCTACCAAAATTATATTTATCAGAGTTACTAATTAGTTCTACTATTATTACTAGACTTACAAATTAATTTTACCAAAATTATGCTTACCAGAATTACAAATTGATTCTACCAAAACTTATGCTTACCAGAGTTACAAATTAATTTAAATATACCAGAGTTACGAATTAATTCTACCAAAATTATGCTTACTAGAGTTACAAATTAATTTTACCAAAATTATGCTTACTAGAGTTACGAATTAGTTTTACCAAACTATGTTTACTAGAGTTACGAATTAGTTCTACCAAACTATATTTACCAAAATAACTAATTAATTCTACTAAATTTATGCTTACCAGAGTTATACTAATAAATTCTATTAAGATAATACTTACCAGAGTTATATATTAATTTTACTAAAATTATACTTACCAAAATACAAATTAATTTTGCTAAAACTATATTTACCAGAATTACTAATTAATTCTACTAAAATTATCTTACAAAATTACTAATTAATTCTATCAAAATTATCTTATCAGATTTATAAATTAATTCTACCAAAACTATGCTTACCTGTGTTACAAATTAATTCAAACAAAATTATGTTTACTAGAGTTATATATTAATTCTACTAAACTATGTTTACCAGAGTTGCTAATTAATTCTACTAAAATGATATTTACCAGAGTTACGAATTAATTCACTAAATTTATAATATTATACTTACCAGAGTTATATTAACTAATTCTATCAAGATAATGCTTACCAGAGTTACATAAAATTCTACCAAAATTATGCTTACTAGAGTTACAAATTAATTCTACCCAAATTAAGTTTACTAGAGTTGAGAATTAATTCTACCTAAATTATTCTTACTAGAGTTACGAATTAATTCTACCAAAACTATATAATTTGACCAAAATTACCAGTATTACGAAATAATTCTACAAATTTACAAAATTATACTGTATTTACCAGATGAGCAAATAAATGTCAAATTTTTTTATTTTGACAATTTCGCTAGATTATTTTTAATAATATTACAAATTTCATTATCTTGTTTATCTTTAACAATACAAATTGTATTATTCCTTATCAATATAGTTAATATAACTTTAGATTATTAGTTGATATATTGAAAGTTTATCTTTACATCATACTAAATCAATTGTATTTGCATAAATTTAATGAATACAATAAATAGAAATATAATTTATTAGTTGATAATATAATATATGGAAATTTTTTTATTCACTTTTTTAAATACAAACCCTTTAATATATATAGATAGGTTTGTCATACTAAGTTCTCGAGAGATCTTGCTATTTTGCCAGAGTTTCGCTTTCAGTTTTAAATATTGTCTTTCACTAACAGTTCTATCTAATAACCATAATATAATAAACATATTATAAAATTCACCTATAATTTTTTATTTAAGCAATGAAGGTTAATTGAATTAATTTTTTGTCTTATTTTGTTTTGCTTTATATTAAATATTTTTTTTAAACTTACAAACAGAATACCAAAGGCAGTGAGTCCTCTTTATCTGAGCAAACAGATCTAACTGACTTTGCAAAAAAAGTTTTTAAAGTTATAAAAAATAACCAACAGCAACTCGCAGCTATATAACAGCTGTTTGACCAATGTATGAATAATCAAAACCAGAATAATTAATGTGATAATAAGATAATAATGCTATGAAGAAGTATATATATTCTAAATCTATAATATTTTATGATATTTTTTTCTTGAAATTTATTAATTTCGAATTTTAGTATCGAACTGTACAATGTTGTTTGGTGTTTACATATGTTATTGGCAAAGATAAAAAACTTTCAAGTCCAGAAGCAAGATATCAAGAGATTGAAATCATAAAGAACGATTATATTTATGATATCTTAAAAAAAATAGATCACTCATATCTATTGTCCTATAAGTTAACAATTTTGGTTATATCTGATCAAAACTTTCATCCTAAGAATACAATCACTACCACAACTGATATAAACATGTGAAATGTATGTTTTCCTCATGATTCTACCCAACCATGTTATTGATTTTTTGGCTTTATAGCCCAAAACATAGACTACCACTTTGCTACTCTATTAGAGTTTTGTGGAATATATAGC